AATCATGTTAGCATCGACCGAAAATGCTTGTAGAATTTTCAATCGAAGGCCAACTGCAAGACCAGGAGTGGTGTGACGTGATTCCTATTGATGTTTGTCACCTCTTGTTGGGACGACTGTGGCAATACGGCCAAAGGACTTAATACGACTGATATATAAACACGTATTCTTTCACCAAGTACTGGAAACACATCACCCTCCTTTTCTTCGACAGAGTTAGAGGTCATAAGATCTCTTTTGAGCATAACGATGTTAGTGGAACCAATTTCAGTGATTACACCATAAGGGATGACAGAGACACCGACCCCCGATACAGTACAGAAATGGTGAAGTTATGTCAAGTCGACATCATATGGGCAGCACCACCACAATGTGAGAAGGGTTTGATTACTCTCACCATACACAATTAAACCGATCATAATACTTCAGGAAGATTCATCAATATAAGCGTGGTGCATGGCCTCAGAAGAACGGATCGATATGGCTATTTTCTTGCAAGATAAGGACTACCCTCAGATACCTCGGGAGGCAGTGAAGTTGCCAGTGGGATCTAAAGTGACTGACAACGAAATAGAAGCTTCAACCAACGAAGTCAAAGCCCCCAAACCCCAAGAGACTGACACAGGCGTAGAACAATGCCCAAATCGAGGGCAGAATAGCACCCTAAGCGGGGCGCGGGGCGCGGGGCGCGGGGCGCCTCAAAACAGCGAGGTGGAAGCCCCGCTCCACCGCACGAAGCTTCGGGTGATACTGGAATCCCGTGAATTCATGAGAAGCGGAACGAGTCACAGCGAGATCACAGAATAGAGGGAGAAGGATAGCGATCCCGAGAGCAGGAATAGGGCTGGTCTCAAATCTTCGTGATCCAAGGCTAGTTCATGCTCCTTATACACTTGTCTTCTAGAAAGGCTTTTCTTCTGGATTCTTCTTATCTCCCTACTCTCCTTCCTCTTGTGTAGAACTAGGAGACTATAAATATCTATCCCAAGTGTGTGTTTGAGGAGCAAGTTCTGAGTATATCTAGATTGTATCATTATCTTTTATCTTTCCCAACCTGTCTCTTTCACTCCCCTTAGCCACCAACCACTATAAACTTCTCCCAAACTAATACACTATTGTTTTCGACCACCTACAACCCTTCCCACTTGCTGCCCTCACAGTTCTGCATCTTCCCCTCACTACCGAAGAAAGGGCTCATACTAGGCTTAGTAACCCGTTTATCTGTTGAAAGACATTCGTAAACTGTTGTAGGAGCTGTTGGACCCCTTCCGGAAACTCTGTCAATTTTGAATCTCGAATCTCCTCAATTTTCTGCTACTCCACCAAATAGCCCAGTTCTACTCCCCGAATCGACTTGACCATGGTTTTGAGCGACACCATGGTTTTGCACAAGCTAGCATCTCCTCTTAGCACCACCTTCCTAACCTCCACTTAAGACTCTATCATTAAGAACTTCTAGTCCACCTTCATCTCTTCCAATGTTCGCAGCCACTTTATCCCTAAAATCACATATGTGCTGCCCAAATCTAAAGGAAGTCTTCCACCACCTGTAGATCATGTAGTGTCAGAACCAATCCCTAGCAAATTCTTCTACTTTCTCTACCTTCCCTATCCCCATCATGATGTTGAAGCTCCCTTTAGTCACCAGCTTCAACCCTAGCTTCTCCCCAACCTGATTTGCGATAAAGTTATGTGTGGCCTTGCTATCCACCAACACCACAATCAATTGTTCTCCGATCCATCCCCTCACTTTCATGGTGTGATTTGAGGTGAATCCCAGCACCGAATTGAGAGACACCTCTGCCACATCTAAATTCAGATGCTCCTCCACTGCTTCCCCTTTTGATTCCTCACTCCTTATATCATCCTCCTGAACCAAAAGAATCTGAAGGGCATGCTCCTTGCAACGGTGTTCTAGGGCGTATTTCTTCTCACAACGGAAACACAATCTTTTGGCTCTGTTGTCCTGCACTTCTGCATCTCTGAGGTGCTTGAAATTTCTCCAATGATAAGGTGTTGTATTTTTTCTCCTTCAGCGTCTCTTTCTAAAATGACAACGTCAGAGTTCTCGATCGATAGAATCCTCAGGTGTTGCTTCCTTTGTCGGTCATCTTCACCTGTTTCTTGTCCTCCATCATTTTTCTTAAGTTTCACGTTCTCAAGGGGCAGATGGTTGCTCTTATGTGGGGTTTTAAGTCTTTCAAGAAGTTCCCTTCCAATACTGCTGTCAAAATCCCCCTCAAACTCACTTACAAATATCAAACTTCTCTCGTTATCTATAACCGACCCCTCTTGAGTCAGAGCATAGTTGCTCATGTAAGTCTCCTTCCCGAATGGCTCGAAAATGCTCCAACAAGCAATCCTTAAACTCCTATGAGTGCATTAGATACCTTGCCTCCATCCACTGGAGCCACGTTAAACCCTTCCTCTCCAAGCATAATTCTACTGTCATGATCTTCTCTTCCTCAATCAACCTGTTGATTGCAAAGTATCGCTCCACCCGATACACCCATCCATGTGTATCCTCCCCTTCCAAGATTGGCATCTTCAGTTTCCTGCCCCTTGCATCTCCATCCAAACCCCTCTTCCTCCGGTATTTCCACTTATGCGTATAGGGTGAAACTTCTTTCATTGGTCAAAGGCATATCTCACTCCTAAATCCCTCATTCCTCCATCGTGCTCTTCCTTGCCCCTTACATCATCCCTCCAATTTTCAGCCCATCCCTCTCCATCGAAAATCTCCACTCCCCCTCTCTCATAGTCCTAGAGGGACACTATTGTAGGTAGATGAAGTCTTCTTCGTTGTCTTCTCACTCGATCTCCTTCTCTTTTGACCTATCCAAGGATTCCTTGATCAACCCTTGGTTAGGCTTTGCAACAGGAGCGATCGGCAGGGCCTTGGCTTTCATTTCCATGAATTTTTTCATCATCTCCCACATTCCTTTTATGTTCTCAAATCCATCCTCCATCCGACTTTCAATGGAAGTAAACATGTCCTCCATGGTGGCGAACCACTCTTCCATTCCAGATCTAATTTGTCATACCTCTCTTCTAGCACATCCACTTTCTTCGCCACCATCCCACCAAGATCAACTCTCTGATACCAATTTGATATGCCTCAACACCAAAATCAGTAAACAAACCACAAAGAACGACAATAGATAGGTGAAAGAAACACAAATAAGGGCTGCTCTTACAAAATTCAAAGAAAATAAGCAAGATACAAAGTTGATCTATTATTTGAAGGGTAGAGCGACTCTCCCACACCCTAGATGTCGCTAGGAGCACCACAAGAAGAAATAAAATAGCAGCCACAACAAAATATGCATAAAAAACCAAGCCTTAGGTTTTTCCCTTCAGGAGAATTCTCCCTCGGAATTTTAAAAACTTTCCTTCCAAGCCATCCTCTCAAACTCCTTTAATTTCTCCTGCTTGAATATGTGATTAAGACCATCGTGGATCCCCTTTTCTACCTTTCTTTTTCTATCACAACACCCCTCTCCTTTCATTTTTCTATCGCAGCAACCGGCCGCTTGACTCCTTGTGGAAGTGTCCGACCCGCCTAGTCAGTTGGAGGATGTTGGACCGGTCCCTCCTGGACCAGTTCACATGTAGGCGGTGTAACAATCTTCTGTCTTCTTACAAGTGCAAGATTATTCGTCGATTTATCCTTTGCTCTGAGACCTCACAGTTTTATAAATCTTTAAATATATTTATATTATTCTTGTTAGTTAATATTTCATGTAATTGTTTGTAGTTTGTGGTTTTAAACCTTCAGAAAATATGAGTTCGAGGTCTCTTGTGCCTTTAGAGTCTTGTACTGCAACTATAGATTGTAGTGTTCTCTACATAATTCATGACAAGAGTATGATTATTGTAGAAAACATTACAGATGTCCAGAAAATAGATAAGTAGAGAACTGTGACTTCTTCAGTTGGGCAAATCAATTAGATGATTCAACCTAAAATAGTGATCAGATGTTGAGAGTTTCTTTGGAGAATAAACTCTCTCTTTAAATTGGTTATCTGCATTTCAAATTCAATATCATGATAAAATTAATTGTTTGTTTAATAATTTTATTTTTTATTTTGATTGTTATATTACTCACTGTTTAGTAAGGTGTTAGTTTTTAGGTGTAATATTTAAATTTAAGAGTTTTTAAGGATTCTAAATGTAATTTCTATTTTCATGCATGGGTTATTCAATCTGAAGTGGTTATGTTATAAATAACACAACAATGCGATCGAAAAAAAATCTTTTTATCATAAACTGCGGCAATGCAAGTTATACAATACAAACAGACACATAGCTTTTGCTCAGCAACTTCTGTGAAGGTGTAGATATGACATTAAACTTAAAAAGGAGTACAAAAAATAGGTCCTTAAATCTGTGCAAAAGAGGCCTTATCATCGCAGAGGATGAAAAAAAGCTCTGATAATTCAGGAACTGTATCAAAGGAAAAATTATATAAAAGAGCCATTTGGGCACAAAAATAGGCAGCCCGATTGAGTTCCTTAAGAGCAAAATGAAAGAGAACTTGTTTAAAAAAAGTCAAAAAAGCAAAAGTATGGAATTGTTTCGAATTAGCACCTGCTGCACAGAAGCTTTTAAAAAAGCTGCAACTATCCCAGATAGACCCTAAAACTCAGAGAAAATGCTACATCTAAACCTTACAAGAGAACTTCTAAGAATTTTATTACCACCACAAAATACCCAACAAGACGATCATCCAAAAATGATCCTTCGACCCTATGACCCTATAATCATAATTTTTTGGCACTACTGAAAACAGTAAGCCTTGATCATATTTGCAATAGAAAAATGCCCCGCATGTCAAAATCTTACCATTATAATATAAATATCAAAATTAATTTAGGTTTATTTTCTAGTAGAAGAAAAAAGAAAATCATAATATCAATTGGTCATATTTGCAAACTAATCTCTATTCATATCAAAGGAATCTTAAATAAAAACCGTAATGCTTTAGGTTTAGAGTTTACCTTCTTGTGTCCATTAAGATAAAGATGACGATGATGCAAGGAGAGACCTCCAAACTTAATTCATTCCCTCTTCTCCAACTCAGTTTCCTCTACGTTGAGTTTATTATAGCCATAATCGAGTAGATAAGGCCATTACATACAAGGTTCCATCATCAGTTGTAACCTCAATTCTCAGTCCTCTTGTGTTCATTTGCACCTCTCCCAAACTCAACCTTAAAAGGGGAACCTGAGGTCCTGGGAAAGAAATTGAGTTGAGTCAATTCAGTTGGACCATCCCAATTCAGTTAGAAAACAATTACAGGTTTTACACAATCACTCTCCGACTACCAACTCCCCCTCCATTGACGGTCCCAATTCAGCTGAAAAATGTTACAGGTTTTACACAATCATTTCCCGACTGCCGACTCCCCCTCCATTGACCGCTTATCTATTCACCAAGATCACTTTTGACTACAAAATAAAAAATTACCAACCTTTCACCATTGCACTATGAGTATATTCCACAACAACCACAGAAGAAAGATGCGTGCTAAGGTATCGGAATGTTTCAAGGATGAAGGGATGCAAATGAAAGAGACAATTTTAAATTCAGTTCTTAGGGAGAGATTCAAGAGCTGCTACAGATAATATCTATTAAAGGGACTGTGAGAGCTCTTCAAACAACTCTGAAAAAACAAACATAAATTACTGTGTTTTTTAAATTTATCTGTGATAGTTTTTTACTAATAAAAGGATATTGCATTAATACATTTAAAATTTAAATAGACTAAAATTTTCAATAGTTATTTTATAACTAAATAAACACAATTGTTTCCCTACCTTTATTTCATAGCCAACCAAACAATCCTAAAAAAATTGAAATTGAATGTATTTGCTTTGCATTTACTTTGCATTGCATTCTCTAAATACATGATTACTAAATGCTTGCAGCCAAAGAGCCCCTTAAAATGGATAAAATTGACACAAAATAAATTCGCTATCATTAGTAGAAAATAACACCTTGATTAGGAAGTTGAAAGATAAAGAGAGACAGCAGCATTTTTGAAAGATAAAGAGAGAGCAGCATTTTCTCTAAAGATAGAAATTACATAGTTTGCAAAAGGCGTACCATAATAGCCAATTGCTGTTGCGCTGATCAGAACAGAAGGCCGTGTACTGGAATTCATCTTATTAATCAGATCAACCACCTTCCACAATGGCTGAATGTCAGATCTTGAGAATTCTCCAATTGGAAAAATAAAAAAAGAGCTAATTCATTAAGCAAAATGGTTAGAGACCTTAGAAGTAACTTTGACTCGGCTTTGCTTAATTTCCTTCTTGACCTACCAGACAAAGAAAATGAAGGTAGGAGGATGCTCTCAATCAAAACAACAAAATCACTAAAATTTTAGATAATGTTTAAAAATAAATAAATTATGGATACCTAACATCAACTAACCTCAGATGACCATCTAGTACTTATGGGCATTCCAGCCAAGTTTACAACAGCATTTGAACCTTCAATACACTTATTCCACCCTTCTTCTTCCGCAATCACAATCTCAGGAAACCTTCGCCCTGCAATTTATCAAAATTTTGTTCAAGTAAAACATAGATTTAATCAATAAAGTTTATGCCAAATAGTTAAATATGCTGTTTAGCGCCACCATTTTGGAACATCGCGTGCACTGACATTGAGACATTGGTTTTCGCTGAAAACTATGCCCACTTCATGAGTACACTGGATAGTGTTCTTGCGCTTTCCAGGTACCAAGCACGAATAAATATAATTATATAAAAAGCATAAAATTTGTCAAGGCCATTTTTACTCTACATTATCCCAATGTTCATGAATTATAAGAGAAATAAATGTCGAAATGCTAGTACCTGAGGTGTTGGAAGGAGGTTCTTGGCAGAGATGGTAGGTGGTTGATCTTTAGCAATATTCGGCCTTAGATGAGGATGCAAGCGATAGCAAATAGTAGAATTGTGGTCAAACATACTACAATGAGAGCAATAAGAAGAGTGTGGTTCTATTTCAACCTTTTGTCAATACCCGTTGTGAGTAGTGTCAATCCATACCTCATTCGAAGCTGGTTAGGTGATATCTCTCTCAACAAACACACAAGACACAGAGGGTCAACCACACAAACCAAAGAGGTTCGGGTGACAGCAAGCGTAGGACTATCAACCTTGAGAGACCTACCATAAGCAATTGCTAAAGAGTAGAGAATTTCTAAGTTGAACAGATGTAGTTTTAACCCCAAAAATTTTATCCAAACAGGAATGATAGGAGACTATGCTTTTGGATCAAAATCGACAGTCCACTTCAGAATTTTCATAAAACGGTTGTTGATCTTGATAACTTTTCGAGAAAAAATGCGAGTGTAATCGGCATCGTGAGATAACTGAATAAGTATATGTCAACTATCAAGTAAGCTAATATTTCAACTACCCAATAGCTTCATAGCATTAAACTCTTTCCTTATGATCTCTAATTTTGGGTGACCATAAAGAAATTTCCCCACTAAAGCAAAAAGCCAAAAGGAAGCGATAGTACTGGTTTCAACCTCAGTGAGAATAAGAGCAAAATTTCTATTTTTTTTGTCAAGTTTTTTAATGAAAGTGTGATCACCACCACCTTCAAGAGCATCATGGAAAGATTGAGGAACATTGCAGGACTTTTCAATATGAAAACCATACTCTAAACCTGAAAGAGAAGCGCGAGTAGGAATAGGAAAGTCACCGGAAAGAGCATTCACATAGAAACACATCGTCGAGGCCATGTCCAGAACGGCAGGCGAGCTGCTAAAAAAAGGTGAGCAGACTTCACTTTCTGTCAGGCAGGGCAATGCGACCCGAGGAAGGAAGACTGCGAGCGTCGAGCCAAATTGAAGGCGCAAATTGCGTAAGTAGCAGAGCAAGAACGACGAAAACGAGAGGCCTTCGTCATCGGGCACAGCTCCGACGGAAGCCCTTCGACGTCGGGCCGAATCAAACGCGTGAATGCGTCAGGAAGAGGAACGACGGATGAGAAAGTCGAAGGAGAGAAACCCTTCGACGTCGGGTACGAGGAAACCGATTGGCACGACACTCTTCGTCGTCAGAACGACAAAATCAGATGAGAAGTCGTAGAATTAACACAAGGAATCGCCAACTGGCTAAACT